CAGCATCATAGTTAAATTTAATTGGCTTTTGAACGTTTGAAATTAGACGAAATACAATAAACCGTCTTGACAATACCATCATTTACAACGTTTCAACAACAAAGCCCTCTTTTATCATCCGATAATTTTCTCGTTTGTGCATGAAAGGGAATCATTGTCGGATGCACTTGACAAATAAACGTCCCTCTCTGATCGATTCGACGTCTTGACAATAGATGGCACGACGAAATCTTCGACCCCCACCGACCCAATTTCCTTCCAATCGATCTTCGACTAGTTATTTAGCGACTTTTCGACGTTTTATGGTCCCACGAGAGTCGACACGTGAAAACAGCTCGTTTTAATTACGCTAACCTTGAATAAGGGTCGTAAATGTCCCTCGGATGTTTAGACGTAGTGGCCCCATGGAACCCACATTATCGATCCGGAGGGGATCCGGTATGCGGGCCCGGAGAATTTCGGTACAGTTGGATTAGACCCGGAGGTGGCGGAACCTTCATTCGATTAGGATTGGTTAGGAATGCGAAATGCAAAGATTGGAAACTGGGGGTGCAGAAAATTAATGCTTTCTTGGGGTGCCTAGGGCAAACGGATTGTGCACAAAAATCAGATAACATTGAAAAAATCACAGAAAATACTGCATTTATTAAAAATAACCTCTGCATTATTCAAGCGATTCGAATGCGAAACGAAATTTCCCACATTTATTAGGCTTGAACATCTCACGTGCCGAGATCTTTCCCAAGATCGACGATTTCACTAACAAATTGAATCTAAATCCCGGATTTGTACGATTTTATGAAAATCTTTGATTTCCATTAATCATTTGGTCGACGACGTCTGCTAAAATTTTCATCTTTTTGTCATTTGTAAGCAGACTGTTGACGGGCATTCTAACGTCACGTAATTGTGCGACAAGGTGGTTGAAATCCTTCATAAATATTCATTACATTTCGATGACAATAGCTGCGTCGGTGTTGTAAAAATAAATTGTTTGGGTCATTCAAAAGAAAAAATCCGGTCTAAAATTAGGCGACACATGTGGTAACGATGTTTGAGATCGAGTGTCAGAAATGTGTCGTCTAGGACAGATATCACAGATGTTATCACAGAATTCGGGTGTAAATAGAGGCCCGAAATGATAAGGAATTTCGATAAAACAATCCACTCAACACACATTCATAAAATTAAGTTGAACCACAATGAAAGCTTCGATTTAGAGCTTTATGGGCTCTTCAGCGACAAGAAGGTTATTCAAATTTAAACCAATAAAAGCTCCTTTCAAGACATTATCAATAGGGAGTGCTGCGCGCAAGGAAAACAAATAAAAATTGAAAAAAAAAACATTATTTTTTATCACAATTTTGATAGGCAAGCACTTTTCCTTTTTGACCGGAAATGCGATAACAGCCTTTCCAAGCCCAATCCCTATCAAAATTCCTCTTTTCCACCGTATGCATAATTAGGTGTTCGCCCCTCGTCCAACCCTTAACCAAGCCCCACATCGTTTTCCTCGAAAACCTAATTGCAAAAAGTCATTATTGTTTGTTGTAATAAAGCAGCGCCAAGTTATTTATCCAATGATAAGATAACTCGAAACCGGTATTTGTACAGCATCTAAAAATCCGGCTTTTTGAACGTATTTTCGTCCAAACATGAGGATTAAATTTCCCTCGTAAAAGTGGAAAACATAATCCGCTTAAAACTGGGGTGTTTTCTCAACGACATATCGTGGTTTTACGTCTATATAAATACGGAGCAAATCACCCCCTCGACGCATCGAAACACACCCTGCGACTTGTTTTAACGTTAATCAAGCACTTGGAGGATTTATAAACCCATACATCATCGTATTATGCCAGGATTAGAAAGTTGCTTATTTTACATCGAAAATATATAACGTACGAGTTTATTACGGCTGCTCTGAACGAGATAAGGAGCCGGATTTACCTATGATAGTATTTATTGCATTCTTGAAATTTTATTAGGTACTTGAGGAAAATAATTATTTGCGTCATTTGTGGCGAAATGGAGACGATTCGATGGGTGTAATACTTTGCGAGATAATTACGTACGCACCCACGCATCGTCTAAACTCGGAGAAAAAATTTGTTTTCGAACACGAGTGTAATTGACCGGAAACACTTTCAACGGTAACTTTTTTGGTCCGATAAAAATTCAATGTCGATGGTTGTAAGTGCAGGAAGTAATAGCTTTACGTAAGACCAAAAAATGACTAGCAAAATTATATTTTCTGATGATGGATTGGAATTATTTAGAGGAAAAGATGAGAGGTTATCCGCTTATCTGAAAAGGCGGATGGAAAATTGAAGGAACCGATGATACGACAGCTTGCATTTTTTATACGAATTGCGTCACTGTTTGACGAGTGGGGTCTTATCAATCGATAAAAATGAATTCCCAAAACGGAAATATTCTCATCATCCTACATTTATTAATAAATTTATAAGTATCAAGTTGCTGAATAAATAAAGATTCGTTTAATAAAGTCGTTTCTGCTTCGATGAAATATTAAAATCACCAGGATGTGTTATTAAGAAAATTTCTATTTCCACATTTCAATTTTCAACAAGATCTAAAAGTGGATCATTTCGAAAGTATCTTGGATCAGACTCAAAACTAAAACAACAGAAAAACTCAAAAATTTTGTTTTTAGAAACCAATCACAATTAAAAATAATCAAATGCAATGAATTACATATTACATATTTATTACAGCGAAAGTAAAAGCAGATCAATATTGGTTTGTAATGCATTTTCAAATGTTTTAAAAGCTACAAGTAAATACCTAATCTAAAATTAAAATTATTCAAGTGAATGGGCTCATATTTTAAAATGTTTTCTTGACCGTTGAAAACATATCCATATTTTATTTGAAACTAATTATTTTCAACAAAGTAAACAATATGTACCTAATAACACGTATTGTGTTCTACACTAGGACTTCAAAACATCAAAAAAGTGTGATAAATTTTGAAAAAAAAAAAAAACAATCAAACAAACAATTTTTTTTCTATTTCAGTGTCACAACTGTTTTCAGTTAGATAAAATGCTTTCTTTTATTGAAAACGCTAGAAAATAATCAATTTTTCCAACTTTTCCTTATTTTGTATATTTTATATGAGATAATCAAGGAATAAAACTAAGGGTTTTACATTATTTTAATTTCGGAATTCTTCAAAATCTTGTATGTACTTCTTTATGAACGGGAATTTTCAAAAAATATAAAAATTAATACAAAATTGATCTCCATATTAATGACTTAAATTTTATTTATTTTCTGGTTAAAATGAGTCTTTTCGGGACTCAAGAAAATAGTACGTAAAATGGTTATTTTAGGGACTCAGTTCCCAACAGTTTTTCCGGACGAAAAAGTTGGTTATTATGGTGGTGAAATTTTTGTGAATTCGTTTTTTGGGAGCTTTAACAAAAAATATTGTTTGTAAGACGTACTTAAAACGTTTTTCCAGACTCGGCTTAGCCTCGTCCAGAAGCAGCAACGATTCGTTTACAAAAACTGCATTTTAGCTACTTGTAACACAAATAACTATTTTTAATCACATAAAGTACAATTGTGCAATATTGAGAGCTATTAAGCAATGAAGTCTTAGCTGGGACAGCCTGTAGATGTATAAAAAAAACACCTTTATATTCACAAATATGTATTTTTATTCGCAATCATATTGTAATCTATAAATTTCATGAGATAACAACAGCTGGGAACTAGAATGATTACTGAAGCTAGTCGGGAAATTATTACCTACCTCGAAAAATATTACATACCTCGAGAGTGGCTTGCATAACTTTGATAAGCCTCACTATCAGTACGATTTAAAATCTATAGTAAATTGTTATTTTTAGCATTGAATGATTGCGAAAAAAAAAATAGTATACTACGAATCTCGACCTTCGCTCTCGATTTCGTATTTATAATGAAACTTTTCCTTACTCGGTATGTCGTATACTATTATTAAGTTCACAACGGTGTAGTCTACGATTTTATTGAAAATAAACAATTAAATTTAAAAAATCAACAATTTCAACTCCATATTTCACGTCCTTGGCTACAAATACATGTACAGCTGCTACAAACATATTATTTCCTCGCAATTAAATCTATTGAGGATCATAACCAACAGAATAAAACAACTGAGGCATATATTTTTTTATTGTTTAGACATTTTTGTGGCTTTTATCACTTATCAATTCGCGTATCTCTCCACAAGTCGATGGAAAAAATCCCCGGATCAATCATGCTTGAACTTGCCTTTCGCACATTTACCACATTCCATCTCAAAGTGTCTGATTAGAAGTCAACGACATGGAATCTAATCAAATCGATTACGACCCATCCTAATGAATTCATAAAAACCTCGTCTAAATCACCTGTTGAGACCCGGAAAAGCGTCGCCATCAAACGTACATCCCTTTTATTACATATATTTTCGTCCCATTGTCATTAAGATGCCTTTGGGGCTGTAATGCGGCGCCGAGAGCCATTTTCATCTCGCAATCACGGTCGGGAAATTCGAGCCGTCTCGGCTCCGACCCAATTCCCACCCGGAAAACTCACGTCGCAGTTTTTCCGACTTTTTCCGGATGATGAATCCGTTCTAATCTCAATCTCCCCTTATGAATGGGGGCGCTCCAAAAATAACCGAGGGACGACACACGACTGAATTACGCGAAATTGGGCGAAAATCTATAAATTCGAAGCACGCAAGGGTTGCATAGGGTGTTAATTATGCAAATGAAACGGGAGAAAAGTGCATGACTCACATTCAAGATCCGAAACGAAAATATTGAAAAAATTGCGGTATTGTTGTGGAAAAGTATTACGCGGTGGAAATTAGATCGAAATACAATGGAATCAATTGAAAAGTTTTTTCAATTGAGATAATGACCGGCTTTTGTGAAAATACAGTAAAATCAATTATTTTTCAAACAATGACATGTCATGTTAACAACAAAAATACTGACCTTATTTATAAAGTAACTATAACAAAGTCCAACCTAATGATTGTTGTTGAAGTTTACTGGAATCACTAAAAACTTATTTTTTCACTAAATTAAGACGCGATCATACATCACAACACTTTAAAACTTAAATTAATTGAAGAACATCAACACAAAACCTGCGTATACTACAGCCATTTTACCTAATCTGAGAAAACCTGACAGAATTGAACTGAAATAAAACAAACAGTCCCTAGAAATCCCCACCACTTCGAATTAACATAAACAAATAATTCGCAAAAAAGTTTTGCTGAAATACAGACAAGCCTCGAATAAAAACAGTAGAAATGCGTAATTTTTAACCAAAAACGACTTTATTGGGAATTAAAATACAAAAAATTGCAATCCTTGTTGGGGAGAAAGTCCCTACCGTGTTGGCTACCCTGCCTCTCCTGTCAAATTACATAACCACAAAAACCTTCGTCCTTGCAGTCGATTTTTTGCTTTAAACCCGAAATTGCGTAATAATGGCTGCGAAAAGAATCGCCCAAAGTTCAATCAATTGGGCCCAAATGGCCGAAAGGGTGCCCCCACACCAGAAAGGCCTTTTCCAGCAGTTCAAGTCAAAATCCGACCAATACTTACGCAGGTATTTGACCTTAGCTTGCCCCCATTTTTTCTTATTTTTTTATTGGTTTAGGGTTATGGAGAACCCAGAGAAGGCCCCCGAGATCAACTGGGGTTTCTACAAGTCCCGAGTCCCCGTGGCTGGGATGGTGGATGAGTTCCAGAAGCAGTACTCCGCATTGAAGATTCCCTACCCCCCTGATACCGTCAGCTCGCAAATCGACGCCCAAGAACAGGAGGTGAAGACCGAAATCGAGAAGTTCAAACGTGAGTCTGGTGCTAGGATTTCTGAGTAAGTTTTCAGTGAAAATAGTACTACTTTTTCAATGACTTGTTTTTTTTCCTAGGTATGAGAAACAATTAGCTCATTTGACATCTTTGATTCCGTTTGATCAAATGACTATGGAAGACTTCAGGGATGCCTACCCTGAACAAGCCCTAGATCCCATCAACAGACCCACTTTCTGGCCCCATAGACCTGAAGACCAGCCTGGGCCCAATGATGTACCTTCTGGTCATCATTAAATGGGCTATTAGTTTACCAAATGTAAACAATATTAGAATTCATGCTGATATGATACATGTAACACGTTATTAGAGAAAACAGCTGTATGCTTCTTACAAAATCCTGTGTATTTGTTTTCTTTTTGAATTAAATCATAATAGATATAAATATTTAGTGTGTCCTTTCAAACGATGTTTTAAATGTTTCTTATCGGTTTTTTTTATTATTATGACTTATAAATAATGAGCGAAATACAAGTTTGATGCGTAGGGTAGGCAACCAATTAAACACCATGATTTTTTTTTTCGATTTTCGTAAAAATGAGCAATAGCACAGAAGTATATTTGTTAATGTGTTTCATTAACAACTTTTTTTACAGTTATTTTTCATTTAATTTTGTTATAACACATGAGAGAAATAATTTTTACTCAGAAACGTTATTTTAAATTAGGAAATTAAATTTTTCAATACAGTACTTTCGATTTCGAGTATTTTTTGCGAAATTATGATTTGTGAAGGATCCATGTTTACTTTTAAAAAAACATAATTTTTTAGGATTCTGTCTTGTTTTGTAAGGCGCCAGATTACCTCTTTGATTTGGTGTTGTTATTCTCTTTTTTTGCATGCGCCAATTGTTCTGGTCCAGAAATAAAAAGCCATTTTAGGGTTTTTAAAAACAAGGTATTTTGTTAGTTTTTTGAGGTAATTTTGCATTATTTTGTGAGATTTCAACAGTTTTTTCGTATGCCCAATTTTTGATATTTGGGTGCATAACAATTAGTGCTTTTTAAGAATTTTAGGTCGTTTACTTTTGGGAAAACGGCTAAATTTTTGGTATTCTGCCTTGTATTTAAGACGCCAAATGTCCTGGTCCAGAAGTATCATTTTACATCCTACTTAATATACTATTTATTATTTAAATGCCATTTTACATAATTTATAATTTGTAATAATTGACATTTTTTTACTATTTAATTCTAGTTGGAATAGCGCAATGTAGTGGTAGCGATTACGATTCGTATTTGTTTTCTTTTTGAATTAAATCATAATAGATAAAAATATTTAGTGTGTTCTTTCAAACAATGTTTTAAACATTTCTTATCGTGTTTTTTTTATTATTATTATGCGCGAATTACAAGTTTGTGTTGCGTCAAGTAGGCACCATAAAAAAATTTCGATTTTTGTAAAAATAAGCAATAGTACAGAAGTATTATTAGCAATTTTTATTTATATTTTCAAACACTAACTTTCTTGTTGTTCTTTGTCTTTCAAAAATTGTTCCATAACGGCCTCGTCTCTTTCTTTGGGTAAGAGGAAATGACACACGGGACTTAACAGTTTTTTATCAACTCGAACATCATTTTTGTTGGTCAAGTAACTAATAGTTAGACCAAAAACGAGGGTAATAGTTACCCCAATGAAACAGTGATAGTCATATGATACCCGAAACATAAAAGGTGGTTGAAAGGAGTTCCTAAAAATTGTAATTATTGTCGCAATTTTGTGTTGATAATCTTACTCTGCTTTAGTAGTGTTTTCTAAAATTGATGGAAAGGTTAAATTGGTGATACAATTTTTGGTGGAAAATGGTTTTTGAGGATAAATGATCAACTTTCTGTACTGGTAATACTCTTTGGGGATAACTATGGCTGCGCTCACTAAAATCCCTCCAAGGGCACCATAGAAAGCACCGTTTGAATTGGCTTTTGGGAATAGTACTCCCAAAGTAAACATTCCCATAACCGGTCCTTCAACCATTCCGGTTAGGGTTAAGGCTAAAGGGACAAGTTGTCCCAAATGTTCCACCAAGTAAACCAAAATAATCGAAATAAATCCAGCAATGATTACGATTAGTCGTAAAATATTTGTCAGTTTTTGTTTCGTAATATTCCTTTTTAAAAAGAGAGTAAGAAAGTCCTTGTAAATTACATCAGACATGGCATTTAAACTTGACGATAAAGAACTAAAAACACGATTCATTGTTTTGCGAAAACTTGTTTTTAGTACCTCAAAGCAGCACAAAAAATTGTTCCCATAAAAATCCCTGCAATCCCATTCATGTTCCCAACTATGTCCAAAATGTAGTAAGGAACGATTTGGTCATGTTTCGATATCATTTTACTCATCAATGGGTCGCATTTTGAGTATTTGTCGTAAATTAAAAAACCAATTAATACACAAATTATTAAAACCATAGACATACTAAAGGCCCAATAAACGAGTGACCTACAATTATTGTTATGAGGAGAAAAAACAGACATTACGTATTACCACACACAGGCTTTAAATGTGGATAAACATAGAAATTTTTGCATCCCTGTTTGGGTAAGACTGATGTAATTAATCGTTTGAACGGTTGCTCCTATAACCAGAGTCCAAAAAGTGTTACGTTTTGTTGGATCCAAATCAAAACTAATAAAAATTGTTTTGAGAAAATTCTAAAATTAGGAAAAAATACTCGAGTATGTCTAGTCTTTCTCCTTCAATCGCTGTATTCCAAACTGATAGAAATCCTCCTTGTTTTTGCAGCCCAACAAAATAGATAAACAAAATTGTTGCAAAAATTATAACAAACTGAAGCAAATCGGTCCAAATAACAGCTTTCAAGCCCCCAATCGACGTATAACACACACAAATTCCACACATTACAAACGTTATCATGTGGACATTAATACCGGTGGCTAAATATTCGTTTTTTATGAAAAACGTTACAAAAACATAATTCCTACCTGCCGACAAAGCTAAAGATGGGGTGTAGATCAACAAAGGGCAGAAAAGTGTTTCATCTAAAACATATAAAAATGACGATAATAATTTCGTTTTTCGATCAAACCTTCTCTCCAAATATTCATAAATGGAGACAATCTCTAGATTGAAAAACACAGGCAAGTAAATGTAAACTGTTAGAATTACAACCAAAGTTTTCGAAATGCAAGTCCACAAATAAAAAGCCCCGAATCTGTACACATCTGCTGGTACCSCCAAGATAGTTAATGCAGAAAAATGACTGAAAGCATAAACGACAATGGCAATTTTGTTTTAATCGAATTTTGAGCTACCTCACAGTTACCGATAGTGCGATTACAAAAGGATTATTATTTTTACTTCTCATTATTTCACTAGTGGTTTTTTGTTTTTTGCCAATGCCATAATACATCCCAAGTGCTGCACTGGACGTGATTACAATGATAAGAATGATATAATCGAGTAAAGAAAATGAAAAAGTCGTTTTAGCAACCATTTTCGCTTCACTTCACTTTATCACCTACCTACATAAAGCAATAGTAAAATGCTAAAATGTGTTCTACTATTTAACTAAAAAATATTTAAATTTTGCGATTAAAATAATTATTAGAAAGTGTAATTTTATCGCCTGTTTTTTAAGCAACACTAAAAGTTAATCCGGAATAATTAACAAATAACGACCAGAAAATTTTTTATGAATAAATGAGAGAAAAAAAGCAATACGGTATAGCATTTTTAATGTCGCCCAGTATAATTAATTAGATATTAGAAAAACATTACCTTTTAAAGTATTTGAAACGGATAAAATATAATTTTAGAGTATAAAAATTAACTTGTCGACATTACGGACGATTTCAGTTACAATAGTATATTATTCAACGAGTGAGAAAGTTGTCCATTTCAAGGAAGATGAAATTTACGCTACGAGCCGAGGGCGGGTGTAGTAATTCATCTGAGTGAAAATAGCCATTTCTTACGAGTTTAATACTACAGTAAAACCTCTCAACAACGGACACCGATGGGGAATCTTAAATTGTCCGTTGTGGAGAGGTGTCCCTTGATGAGAGGTATGCAAAATTAATAAAAAAATGTAAATACTTCTTATTTCAAAATATAAAATAAAAGAACAAAGATACAAAAATTGAGGAATTAAAAGCATTAAGTACAAAAAATTAGAGAAAAACATTTTTATTAAAAAATCGTTTATTTTTGTTACTTTAACTAACAAGTTTTTCTTGGGGTTATTCTGTATTCTGCATTTCATTAATGTAAGCATTGAATCTTATATAAAAGTTCATTTATAAAACAGTAAACATTTACTGATAAAATTAAAAAAAAATTATATTACTTATTGAAGTGGGTAAGTAGGTGTTAATGCAACAAACACAATTACATTGCTGGTTGCATTTTTGAAGACCAAATGGAAACTTCATTTTATTCATTTTATTTTATCGTAACCGTGAGATCGGCACCAGTGGCGGAGTGTTTTTGTTCTCCCTCTTTTAGAGTAGACTTTAGTACCTGTTTTAGAGTAAACCTCTCTCTCGGTCTGTCCGTTGTAGGAGGTAAATTTATGGTAAATGGGGAACATTTCACTGTCCGCGTCCGCTAATCAGAGGGTCCGTTCTTGAGAGGATTTTTTACATTATATTCCCAATGTATTAGTTACGTTCCTACAAAAATGTCCGTTATCAAGAGGTGTCCGTTAAGGGAGGTTTTACTGTATACTTTTTTTAACCAAGACTAATGACTCATATGTTTTTCTTTTTATTATTATAATTACTAGATATTATTTAATTTTCTCCACAGTTTAAGATTGATTAACTTCCTGAATTGAAATCGGTTGAGAAAAGAACTAATTTTTAACGTAGAAAAAATATTTCATACTGAAAAATAAATGAGGACTATAACATTGCTAAAAACAAATCAGAAATAAATTTTATGTTTACATTTTGCTACTTCTTGTTTATTAGAATGCTTTTTTATTGTCATTCCAATATTAGGTAGAAAATTTTGACGAACATAAAAAAGAAAACACTTTTATTTCAAATAAATAAATAACAAGTACAAAAAAAAAATTTCATTTTATTCAGGCGGCGTCATAATCAATGTTACTTACCTAACCTCACTTTTTAGAAACATCTTATGGGGATAAAAACTATTTAAAATCATAAAATATACCTTATTAAACAGTAAAATGTGATAAAATAAAAATAATAATGGGTAGCAAACTAAAAAAAAAATGCACCCAAGACTCGAACTTGCAACAATTATGATCTATTTCGCGTGTAATCCGGCAGGTTTTGCTACTCAGATTTCTAACACTAAATTATTGTCGTAAATTTTTTTTCCAAAATAAGTAGGATAAGGAAAGTCGTGTGATGTTCACACCAGAGTTTTTTTACACGGGTTGAGAGCATAGGAGCTATTACGTCTTAGTAATAGATAATAACAAGCTTAATTTGATGTATTCTGAATACACGGATGTCCAAGAACTATGTAATATTGTTCTCCTACACATAGATCTAGATGTCTTTATGGATTTTCCTATTTCCTGGCAATATATACGGGATCGCCTACATTAATAAGTCCAATTTTTGCCACTTCCAAATACGTTCCCAATATAGGTTCGTTTTCAGGTCCGGAGTGTTTCCGATATCTGCAAAAAATATTTGAATATAAATAAGCAAATAAAGCAAACTTTGCTAACGTTTCCAATGTTTTCAAAGGTTGTCTATTAATATCCCTAATTCCGTTTTCAGACGAAATAGTAGTCCGGAGACATCTTGTGCAATCTTTAACATTTCTCATTATAACATTATCACCAACTTTTATCCAATCCCAATTGTCTTCATCATAAGGTTGCAAATCAGGGCCATCAACGATAATATTATGTCTGAAATTTTCAACAGTGACATTCGAATTGTTACCAATTCGTTTATTTAAATCATGAACCGACTGTTGATTGATGACAGTGACACTCGCCAAGTCTGCAAACAAACCCTGAAAATAGACAATTATTAAAATTGATGACTAATCTACAATCGTACTAACAGTCGATTGGTTGCTTAAATTCTTGTAGTAATTGAGAAGTTTGTAATGACTTTTAGTAATGTCGCGTTGTTGATTGGCATCGTTGTAGCCCAGTCTTAAGCGAAAATCGCGCTCGTTTGTGTATCGAGAAAACCAATCAGCAGCCTCATCCCCACAATCGATCGCTTCAATGTATTCGTTGTAGCAACACCTTCAATTTTTTTAATGTAACAACTAATTTCAAACAAACTTGAGGCCTTACTTGACTTTAGTAACGGCGTTGTCTTTTCGGTTGGGTATTTTAACGTAGAGTGTCTTCATTGTGGGGGCATCTATGGCAAAATGATCTTCATCGTGCACCGAAACGTTAATAAGGACCATTTTGGGGTAGATGCGAGCAGTGCGGAATTCATGATCTTTGGCTCCATAAACTATCAACACCCTAAAAAATAATTACATAATGGTGGAATTTTCCGCCTCGCCTCCATCTTGTGATAATTGTTATGTAATATGTTCACCGACCTGTCTCTTAGCTGGAAAAACTTTACGTCCTCTTTGACCTCTCTGAGTCCGACTTTTGTTACTTCGGCCCTTTGTAATTCGACTCGATGTCCGCTTTTAAGTGGATACAAATGAAGTTTTTTCACGCTTCCAATTTGTTCCCAATTCGAGGGTATTTTGACTTGTTTCCATTTCTGGTACAAGTAGGAACTGAAAACGGTAATGGCCGTTACAAGACTTGTAAAAAGGACGGCTTGTGTCACACTGTTAAGACCCATTTTCAGACACTAAAAATTTATATATATTTTTTTTGTTGAATCAAATTTTTGATAGATTAACAAAAAAATGTTAAATTTGTTTCGGGTAATTATCATTATTATTTACTTACAAAAGTGTCATTAAATAACAATTAAGGAATTATTAGAGCTCATCACACTGTGTGCCTCTTGAACAGGTCAAATAATCATAAAACTTATACAAACCTAAAAAATTATCTTGAATTATGTGATAAACTACGAGATAAAAAGTAACCAATTGTAAACTCTTTATTTATAGATAAATAAATGTTTTCTTAATTCTTATTGTTTCCAAGTTGAAAACAAACGCGAGAAAGCTTAAACATGTGACAATGTTTAGGAAAAAACGAGCTACCCTGAATATCTCAGAAACGAAAAAGACTTTGTAAAAACGCAGAAACGGGTTAATTTTGTTTTCGAGGGAAACATTTTTTGACGTAATTTTTAAAGCATTCCTCCTGACAACCACACACAACATTAAAAATTTTAATGGCACTACCCCTTTGTGGCACATTAAATGAAAATTATTTAACACGCTTTTCAAGACTTTACCAAAATGGAATCAGACTATCCTTTGCCGTTTTCTACTTTTACTGATGGTTAAAAAAACACAGGCAAGTAAATGTAAACTGTTAGAATCACAACTAAAGTCTTTGAAATGCAAGTCCACAAATAAAAAGCCCCGAATCTGTACACATCTGCTGGTACCGCCAAGATAGTTAATGCAGAAAAATGACTGAAAGCATAAACGACAATGGCAATTTTGTTTTAATCGAATTTTGAGCTACCTCACTGTTACCGAAAGTGCGATTACAAAAAGATTATTTTTTTACTTCTCATTATTTCACTAGTGGTTTTTTTCTTTTTTGCCAATGCCATAATATATTCCAAGTGCTGCACTGGTCGTGATTACAATGATAAGAATGATATAATCGAGTAAAGAAAATGAAAAAGTCGTTTTAGCAACCATTTTCGCTTCACTTCACTTTATCACCTACCTACATAGAGCAACAGTAAAATGTGTTCTACTATTTAACTAAAAAAATATTTAAATTTTGCTATAAAAATAATCATTAGAAAGTGTAATTTTATCGCCTGTTTTTTAAGCAACACTAAAAGTCAATCCGGAATAATTAACAAATAACTTGACCAGAAAAATTTTTATGGAAAATAAATGAATTTTGAGAGAAAAAAAGCAATACGGTATAGCATTTTTAATGTCGCCTATGTAATATAATTAATTAGATATTAGAGAAATATTACTTTTTAAAGTATTTGGAACGGATAAAATATAGTTTTAGAGTATAAAAATTGTCAACATTACGGACGATTTCAATTACAATAGTACATTATTCAACGAGTAAGAAAGTTGGTCATTTCAAAAAAGATGAAATTTACGATTCGAGCCGAGGGCGGGTGTAGTAATTCATCTGAGTGAAAATAGCCATTTCTTACAAGTTTAATACTATACTTTTTCTAACCAAGCCTAATGACTCTAATATTTTTATATTTTTTTCTTTTTATTATTATAATTAGATACTAGATATTATTTAATTTTCTCCACAGTTTAAGATTGATTAACTTCCTGAATTGAAATCAGTTGAGAGAAGAACTAATTTTTAACGTAATTAGAAAAAATATTTCATATTGAAAAGGAAATGAGGACTATAACATTGCAAAAAACAGATCAGAAATGAATTTTAAGTTTAAATTTTGCTGCTTCTTGTTTATTAGAATGCTTCTTTATTGTCATTCCAATATTTGGTAGAAAATTTTAACAAACATAAAAAAGAAAACACTTTTATTTCAAATAAATAAATAACAAGTACAAACAAAAATGTCATTTTAAGCAGAACGCGTCATGATCGATGTTACTTAGCTAACCTCACTTTTTAGAAACACTTTAAAATATTTTCTTAAGTCGTATGCATACACCTTTTGCACTTCTAAATCACTTTTATTACCGTCTTTTTATCATTTGATTTTCCAACAGACAATTTTGAAATCTGTCAGTTATCACATTTGGAAAGCGCGAAGAAGATTGAATAGATACAATAATAAATTCATGGGGGTAAAAATTATTGAAATATATTAAATATACCTTATTAAACAGTAAAATGTGATAAAATAAAAATAATAATGGGTAGCAAACTAAAAAAAATGCACCCCAGACTCGAACCCGCGACAACTATGATCTATTTCGTGTGTAATCTGGCAGGTGGCACTAATGCAAACGTTAGGTTTGCTACTCAGATTTCCAAGACTAAATTATTATTATATTATCGTAAAGATTTTTTCCAAAATAAGTAGGATAAGGAAAGTCGTGTGATGTTCACACCAGAGTTTTTTTACACGGGTTGAGAGCGTAGGAGCTATCACGTCTTAGTAATAGATAATAACAAGCTTAATTTGATGTATTCTGAATACACGGATGAAATGTATGACCAAAAACTATGTAATCTTGTTCTCCTTCTACACATAGATCTAGACGTCCTTAATTGATTTTCCTATTTCCTGGCAATATATACGTGATCGCCTACATTAATAAGTCCAGTTTTTGCCACTTCCAAATACGTTCCCAATATAGGTCCGTTTTCAGGTCCGGAGTGTTTCCGATATCTGCAAAAATATTTGAATATAAATAAGCAAATAAAGCAAACTTTACTAACGTTTCCAATGTTTTCAAAGGTTGTCTATTAATATCCCTAATTCCGTTTTCAGACGAAATAGTAGTAAGGAGACATCTTGTGCAATCTTTAACATTTCTCATTATAACATTATCACCAACTTTTATCCAATCCCAATTGTCTTCATCATAAGGTTGCAAATCAAGGCCATCAATGATAATATTATGTCTGAAATTTTCAACAGTGACATTCGAATTGTTACCAATTCGTTTATTTAAATCATGAACCGAGTGTTGATTGATGAGAGTGACACTCGCCAAGTCTGCAAACAAACCCTGAAATATGACAATTATTAAAATTGATGTCTAATCTACAATCGTACTAACAGTCGATTTGTTGCTTAAATTCTTGTAGTAATTGAGAAGTTTATAATGACTTTTAGTAATGTCGCGTTGTTGATTCCCATCGTTGTAGCCCAGTCTTAAGCTAAAATCGCGCTCGTTTGTGTATTTAGAAAACCAATCAGCAGCCTCATCCCCACAATCGATCGCTTCAATGTATTCGTTGTACCAACACCTTTTTTTTTAATATAAAACTAATTCCAAACAAACTTGAGGCCTTACTTGACTTTAGTAACGGTGTTGTCTTTTCGGTTGGGTATTTTAACGTAGAGTGTCCTCATTGTGGGGGCATCTATGGCAAAATGATCTTCATCGTGCACCGAAACATCAATAAGGACCATTTTGGGGTAGGTGCGAGCAGTGCGAAATTCATGATCTTTGGTTCCATAAACTATCAACACCCTAAAAAATAATTACATAATGGTGGAATTTTCCGCCTCCATCTTGTGATAACTCTTATTTTTAACCTGTCTCTTAGCTGGAAAAACTTTACGTCTTCTTTGGTCTGTCTGAGTCCGACTTTTGTCACTTCGGCTCTTTGTAATTCGACTCGATGTCCGCTTTTAAGTGGATACAAATGAAGTTTTTTCACGCTTCCGATTCGTTCCCAATTCGAGGGTATTTTGACTTGTTTCCATTTCTGGTACAAGTAGGAACTGAAAACGGTAATGGCCGTTACAAGACTTGTAAAAAGGACGGCTTGTGTCACACTGTTAAGACCCATTGTTAGACACTAAAAAGTTATATATACCTATTTTTTTATTGAATCAAATTTTTGATAAATTACATAAAAATGTTGAACAATTTGATTAGGGTAATTATCATTATTATTTACTTACAAAAGTGTCATTAAATAACAATTAAYGAATTATTAGAGCTCATCACACTGTGTGTGTCACTTGAACAGGTCAAATAATCATAAAACTTGAACAAACCTAAAAAATTGTCTTGAATTATGTGATAAACTACGAGATAAAAAGTYACCAATTGTAAACTCTTTATTTATAGATAAATAAATGTTTTCTTAATTCTTATTGTTTCAAGTCGAAAACAAACGCGAGAAAGCTTAAACATGTGACAATGTTTAGGAAAAAACACCACCTTAAAATTCTCAGAAACTAAAAAGACTTTGTTACTATTATTTAATTTTGTCCATAGTTTAAGATTGAATAACTTTCTCAATTGAAAATGTTTGAGACAAGTAAGTATTAATTTTTTAACGTAATTAGAAAAAATATTTCGCATTGAAAGTCTATAACTTTGCTAAAAACAGATCAGAAATGAATTTTAAGTTGAAATTTTGCTGCCTCTTGTTTATTAGAATGCTTTTTTATTGTCACTCAGTAAATTATTTTGTCATTCCAATATTTGGTAGAAAATTTTGACAAACATAAAAAAAGAAAACACTTTTATTTCAAATAAATAAAAAACAAGTACAAACAAAAGTTATTTGTTATCTCTTTCTGAATTTATTGACACAACTTCTAGGGCTTTTTCGACGGTGTTGTATTCAATAATACCATTACTTTTAGTGTCTTTGGACACTAAAAAATAGCTCACAGGACTTATCAAAGATTTTTCGACCGGAGGGTCATTTTTATTTGTCATGCAGCTAATTATAAAACCAAAAATTATAGTAGTAAGAGCTCCAATTAGAGTATAATAATAGAATGAGATTCGAAAAATTGCTGGAGGTTGAAAGTGGGTTGAGCTATTTCTAAAAAACCAAAATTATTTAAAAAATAAAAAATAAAATTCTAAACTTGCCTGATGTTTAATACGTTTTCAAAAATTGTGGTTTCGTTTAAAAAATCGCACCGTTCTGTTGATAACGGTTTCGGAGGATACTTGATCAACCCTTGAGTCTCAAAATACTTGTTTGGGAAAACCAAAGCCGATATAAGAATCAAACCAAAAATTGCACCATAAAATGCCCCTTTGGCGTTAGCTCTGGGAAAAATCATTCCAAGAGTGAACAAACCCAACAAAGGGCCATTTGTGACCCCACCAAGACCTATAGCCAACTTCAACAACCCTCCCATATGCTCGATCACAAACACCAAAGCCGTACATGCGACTCCAGTTATTACCACAATTATTTTCAAAATATTACTGGCGGTTTTTTGGGTTATTCTTTTATGCATAAACTTGCTGATAAAGTCTTCGTAGATGGTGCCCGCCAAACAGTTCAAAGTGGCTGAAAGTGTGCTAATTTTGGGCTAGAAACGACCGTGAGTTTCAGGAAAGCAAACCTTAAGCCCGCGCTGAAAACTCCGGCTATGAAGAGGCCGGAAAGGCCCGGAATGTTCCGGGCGACGTCCATGACGTAGTAGGGGAGCAGCTGGTCGTTTCGTGTCACTTGTTTCGTGGTAAAAGGGTCGCAATCGGAGTATTTGGCAAACATAATAAAGCCGGTCAAGACACTGAATGTCTTCACAACAGTCATACCAAAACAGTAGTAAGCAACGGATCTAAAATAAAATTAATTAATAAAAAATAAAAATAACAAAAATATCATGCTTACAAGCTTGATTTTTTAAAAGTGGAAACAGCGAGAAATTTTTGGACACAGCTTTGGTTAACGCTGGTATGGCCCATCCAATGAACTGTTAAACCAATCACAATGGCCCAGAAGCTGTCACGTTTGGTGGGGTCCCAATCAAAACTATTTTACGTTTAAATTTTTACCAAACATTTTAAAAACTTACTCAAAAATATCGAGTCTTTGGCCCTCAACTGCCTTATTCCAGACTTGCAGAAACCCACCTGCTGATTTAACACCCAAGATGAAGACAGTGATGATGGCCCCGACGGTTACAGTAAACTGGAGAGTGTCGGTCCAGACGACTGCCTTGAGCCCCCCTATGGTGGTGTAAAAGATGCAAACGGCACAAACAGCAGGGGCTATCAGGTGGACGTCAATCCCAGAAGCTAATTTTTTTATAGTGTAATAATTTTAAAAAATTTTGCTACAAACCAGCTGAAAAGGCTAAAGCGGGGATATAGACCACGATTGGTAGATACAAAAAGACCGAAACTGCGTAAAGAAACGACGCAAATGATCGCGTCTTCTTATCAAAGCGTCTCTCCAAATACTCATAAGTGCTGATAATTTGCAGATTGTAAAAAACTGGTAAGTAGACGTAGATTGTCACTACGCAAAGAATGGCCATTGAGATGCCCCCTAACCAATAGGCGGCTCCATATCGGTAAATATCGGCCGGAAGTGCAAGAAGAGTAATCCCGGAAGTGTGACTGTAAAAAATCTTTATTTTTTATTTTAATTTTTATTTATTTTTTACCTTGCAACTAGGGAAATAGCAATTGGTATAACCCTCATAGTTTTTCCTCCCATGAGGTACTCATTAGCGCTCGATTGCTTACTCCCAAAGCAACCGAAATAAATCCCGATTAAAGCACTTAGGACCAACATGACCGAAAACAGGATATAGTCATACCAGGAAAAACTGACTTTAGACAGTCTGGAAACTGTCTGGATCAGAGTTGTAGTTGTTGAAGATTCCATTCTTGCACTGGGAGATTACAAATGGGGAAATTCACATAAATGGGATCTGAATCAAGGAGATAATACCGGTTTGTTTGATTTTGGGTAAAGAGTTTAAGTCTAATTTAAATATGACTGATAATAATATACTAACAACGTCTTTTTTCCTATTATCATTCAAAAAAATATATATTTGTGTTGACTGGGTGAAGTTTTGTTAAAAAAAGTGTTTCTGTTTGTTTTCATAATTTAAAAAAAAAGGAAAATTTGATTTTGTTGTAATTAGATCTTACACAATTTTATTTAGGGGCATTGAAATTTTTGGAGATTAAAATGATTTATGTTTTATTGTTAAGAAGAATAAATATGTCAAAGTTATGCTTAGCATTTCGACGTCATGACACGCGACTAAAAGGATATTTACTTGAACCAATAAAATTTTAAATTTACCGAAGGAATTAATTTGTGACGTTAATTAGTCAATGTAACGCAAAGGAAGTGTGTTAAAAACGTGATAATTGCATTTAAAGCAAATTTTTCAAAAAAATTACCAATTCTTCTAAAAAAAATTTTTTTTGGATAATATAACCAACCATTCTGATTTAGACCAAACATGTTTGGGTTTATATTGTCTTGTTCTGTTTTTTATATCCTGATTTATCTCGATTTAAGAACCAACGGACCTAAGTGTGCTGTTTTTGAAATTTTTATTTGTAGCAAAAAAGGGTTAAAAAGTTTTCTTGTGTATCTTAATTAAAAGTCGTCATTTTAAATGTACTCATTACGTTTGGTCTTCTCAAAAAAAAAATTAACTGAAAGTGGATTGAAAAATTTTTTTTTAATGTTTGCAGAGAATCTCAAAGCAAGTCATTTAG